ATCCATATGAAGCTATTGAAAACACCATGGCCTGGGTCAGGCGCACCTTAGTCCTCAAGCTGACATCTCTGCTCTTCAATACTTTAAAAAGTTCCTGTGTAGCAGATTTGCCCATAAAGGTTATAGCCTGGTTAATCCAATGGGACAGTTTCCCTCTATCCTAAAGGGTTTCTAGAGTCAGACTTGACTCTATGGCACACAACAGCAACAGTAGGCTTGTCATTAGCACTCATTATTTAATAATTCCTTTGGAAAATTGGTTCTCTCTACACCAAGTTCAGGATCTCATTGACTTTACAGAGCTAATACCCCCCTAGCTCCTGTGTTTTCTGCTGAATTTTATAAGTCAATGCCATGAGAGTTGTCTTCCTGAACCATGGATCTAGCAATAACATTCCTTAGCAGAAAAACTTGCAATGGACCATTACTACCTGAACAAGGAAGTCTAAATTCTACATCCTGGCACTTGGGGCTCTCCATAGTTTGACTTTTGTTGAATCTTCCAGCCTTTGTGTCTGCTACATGATCTACTCTGCACATCCAGCCTTCAAGTCTGTTTTCTCTGTGTAAATGCTTTTCTCACTCTGCTAGGCTAAGGGACAGAGGAGTTACAGAAAGCAAAACCAACATTATTATCCAAGATACAGAGGCAGGCCAGTGCTTAAAAGTGAACAACGACCCAACTCGGTGGCGATGAATGACTGGAGCAATACTCGTTGGTCACAATTTAAGGAAGAAAGAGACCATACTGGTTGTAATTATTTTACCTTTCTGTTCCAGGTATGTGGAAGGCAGTTCCATTCCTGTTCCAACTCACTACTACAGCATTGTAACCAGCTGCCTGGATTTCACTCAGCCTGCGGACAAATGTGACGGTCCTCTTTCTGTCTCCTCCTTCATCCTTCCTCACCGCCCTGACAATGAGGAGAGCTGCAATGTGAGTCCATAATGTCCTATTGGGCTAGCTGACTTAATCCATCTTTGTGTATTTCAGTTTCTATGGTTAACTAGAACACATTTGTGGTTCTAAGACATTTGCAACATGCACCAAAGAAAGAAGAAAGGAACCATATGGCTTCTTTGAAACATTCAGAAAGCTTGTATTTTCATAACGTTTTCTTTTTATATGTAAGGGTCTATGTGAGTTATGTTATGTTATAGTGCTCAATTTTGACTGATTAATAACATACCCAAACTTTTTAAAGTTTTGCACAAGGTACATGTACTGTGTAAATAGAAAGTTGAAAGTAGCAAAATTTTGATCACTGTTGAAATTAGGACAAGAGTTCATGAAGTTCATTATATTATTCTCTCAAATTTCGTAGATGTTTGGGGATTTCCATAATAGATTTCCACACACACAGCACACACACACACACACACACTTGTAGGAATGCAAAATGTACAAATCAAGTTTTCTGTTGCTGCTTGTTGTAAAGGCAAATGTAACAGTCTTCCCACTTATTCAGATATGGAGACAGCTAGGAGGTTTATGATCCAATAAAGACGCCCCCAACAGGAAGACAGGAGACACACTGTGTGCCCCTGGCCCAGTATTAATTCTGCGCTCAGTAACAAGTCACAGACCTCTTTGGGGCTCTATAATATGATGGAAAGTCTGTGTGTTCCAAGATTATTGAAACAATGTTGTTGTTGTTGTTAAGTGCCATGGAGTCAGTTCTGACTCATAATGACCCTGTATAGGGTTTCTGAGGAGCGGCTGGTGAGCTTGAACCATCAACCTTGAAGTTCAAAGTGACCTTGCAGTCCAACACATTAACCCACAGTGCCATACCTGGACTCCTATTGAAACAATTATCTCTATGATTTTGTTTCCTATAATAGAAGGAACAGAAGAGGATTATTAATGAACAAACATTATTCAAATTCCTAAATTGTTTAAGGTGCTCTGGGATAATCTGTAGTATATTAGACAGTTATTACTGTAGGCAAATAAAACAGGGACAGAAATGACTACATTTAAGGACAAAGAGTAATAAGAACTTCAAGAGAAATTATTAACATCATGGGCTGGGTAGCTTTTGGGATAGGGCATGAATTATAGGTGGAGAGGTGGGCTATAAATAGTAAAAACAAAATAAGGGATGCAGGAATAATGGAAATTTGAAATATGACCCACAAGACTAATTCAACTTCCCAGATATTGTAAGTGGGGCAATAGTAGGAGATAAGGATTTAAAAGTTTCCTGTGAACAAATAAAAGTAGCAACAACAGCTATTACTACTGCAAATGAACTTGGCAAAGCCCTTCCCACAGGAAGCAATAGCAAAAGAAAGCTTTTTTCCTGAATTCCTATGATCCCAGCTGGCTATTATTTAAGTTGGGAAAAGTCTTTTCAGCCTGTGTCCACACTCCAAGTGACTACTACATTTGCAAAGAAAAATGGAACTGGTCATTGAAAAATCAAATAAATGAGTTAAATATGAAAATCTTCCCAGAATGCAGCCTCATACTTACTCTTCATTCTCTGCGGCAGCCCTGACTCGCTTGGAGACCTCCTACATCGTTAATTATATGGTCACACTGAGGATTGGTCAATATCATTGTGGGAAGAATTATATTTAGGTTTGTCCTTTGCTGTGAATTGCGGAGATATTGGTTAAATTGGAGTAGTAGGGTAGGGCATAGAGGGTTAAAATCCTCACTTCTCTAGTCTGCTAAGCAATTTCTTCCTGTTTCTTCATTTTGTCTGGGATGACCAAGCATCAGTTTCCTGAACCAACACCCTCACGGTACATATTTAGCACTGGCACAAGCTGCTATTGCTCCTGTCCAGGTCTGTGGGCTACAGCTTTCCGAGAAGGGTTCTTAGGCTTTGGTGGGTAGTTCAGTGAGGCCACTAGTGGTAAGGAGTTGGGCGAGGGCATGTCTGAATCCTCTAAACCCTGGAACACACAGCCACCCTTCAACTAGCAAAAAAGACTCTTAGAAGCCAATGTAGTTCTGGGGTGGGGAGAGGCATCTGGGAATGAAATTATTTGTAAAGGCCCTTCTGCCTATGTCTCATAATGAAGGTGGTCATTTTTACATAATTCATAGAACTCTCAGATCTTCAATTCTCCCCCAACCCCCCCCCCAAAAAAAAGTATAAGAAGATAGTCTTAGGACACAAAGGAATGCTTAGTTTGAAATACTTTTTAGTTTCAAGATAGAGAGGATGTAAATTGTTTAAAGTGGACCATTTGAATGCCTTTCATTGGAAATTTGTACCAGCGAGACAGTTTTTGACAGCTGAGACTGATGTTTTTTTTCTTTCTCTATTTTGTACTTTTTTCCTCCTTTTCCATTTCTTTCCTTTTTTCCTACCTCCCTTCCTTTGTAACCTTCATGGCAGAATTGAGCGTTATTATCCTTGTATTCTGATGAAGAAGCTGAGGCCTAAAGAGGTCAAGCAGCTTATAAGTGGTAAAGCCACAATTCCAACTCAGGCTTCTTGAGACCCAAAGCCCCAGTTGAGTCAAGGGAGTTGCTTCAAGACAAATGTATTTATTATGCAAATATTAGTTCACTCCCATCTAACAGATGATATAGCTGATGGAACGAATTTGTCTGAAAGATTAGGCATGCACACATAATTTTGTGCATTGGGCCCAAAGCTCTTCACTTGGCTTGGGAGGCAGAAGAACATTCTAACGTCCTTTTGCTCTGTGCTCAATATGATGGTTTGACAGCTAAGAAAGGAAACAAATGCCTGAATTCTTTCAGGTTTTGGTTTTCCTAATTTTGATTTGTGTTCTGAGAATCTTTTGAGTCAAATGGCCTCTCACACCACATGTCTCATTTATTTGGTACAACTAATTGCTGTTGAAAATGTTTACCGCTATGGGCAGGTATTTGTGGCTCATTATGGCAGGAATGCAGTAGATTGGCAAGGAGACCAGGAGGGAGTAACATGCATTGGCTCTGAGAACAGGAGTACGTAGAGGTCACTTGTGGACTTGGGAGCAAACCGATCATTTGGAGAATGTCCTTTGGAAAATTCTGACTCTAAAAGTGTTCTGTTTCCATTGCAGAATTCAGAGGATGAGTCAAAATGGGTTGAAGAACTTATAAAAATGCACACAGCTCGGGTGCGGGACATTGAACATCTTACAAGTCTGGATTTCTTCCGAAAGACCAGCCGCAGCTATTCAGAAATTCTAGCGCTAAAGACATACCTGCATACATATGAAAGCGAAATTTAACTTTCTGGTCCCCTGCAGCGCAGTCTTATCAACTGGTGTATATTTTTATATGTTTTTGTATTTATTAATTTGAAACCAGGACATTAAAAAAAAAAATGTTAGTATTTTAATCCTGTACCAAATCTGACTTATTACTCCTGAATGACTCCACTGTTTCTCTAATGCTTGATTTAGTAATCTTGTGTTCTGAGTAGAGCTTGTGAGAAACCCTGCAGCTTGCGTTTTTAGTGGAAGCTTCTAAATGGTGCTGCAGATTTGATATTTGCATTGAGGAAATATTAATTTTCCAATGCACAGTTACCACATTTAGTCCTGTACTGTCTTAAAATACTGATTTTGTAAAGTTGCATTCATTTACTGTTAACTATGACAGACATATTTAAGCCTTATAGACCAATCTTAAATATAATAAATCACACATTCAGTTTTTTTCTTGTTTTACTGGGCTTTTATTTCACTTTTACATTAGAACATGTACTTCCATTGTATCTGTGCATGTAAGGAACACGTTTCCTACACTGTACTGTCTCCCTATTTGAATTTAGTTCATAAAGTCAAATGGGGACCCATAATACTCAGCTACGGTGGTGGCCTGGAGGTCTTGTTTAGATGCCTATCTATGGGCAATCAGAAGGGAAAACATGACAGGGAACCAGCATTCCTGAGTAACTTCACTTTGCCTGTCTGTTAAAAATATTTGAAGTTTGGAGAATAGGTTCTTCTTTTAAATAATGTTTTATTGAGTCTTGTGTGAAAGTTTACACAGCAAGTTAGGTTCCCATTTGACCATTTGCACACAAATTGTTCAGTACTAAATATTAGTTACATCAATGACAATGTGTCAATATTCTCTTAACTTATGTTCTGTTGGTTCACTTCTAGTACTCTAGTTTCCTTGCCCCCTTATCTTTGCTTTTGTTCTCATTGCTGACCTTTTGCTCTCATACTAATGGTTTTGAAGTAGGGTACCGATCTTCTGGTTGATATCCTTTATTTTGGGAGCCACTCTACTATTCCACTCAATGGTGATTTCAGGGGATAGGCTTGTCTCTAGTTTTAAAGAGTGTCTCAGGACTATCAACTTAATTTAAAACTCTAACTTTAGATTCAGCTGAGACTATATGAAGCATATATTTTGTACATGGTATCAAGCTGAGAACCACAAAGGAAATAGAGATAAAGAGAAATCGAGATAGGATAGACATAAAATAATAATTCGCCAATCAAGGTAGAGAATAAAAATGTCAAGTGGAAAGTGTTGCTAACAATACAATGTGACAAAGCCATCTGAATGATATGTGGGATGATTTTCAAAAGGCAATGATGGCATTAAATAAGGATGAAAGAGCGTGATGAAGTGATTCTTTGAAAAAATTTCACACTGAAGTTGCTTATCTCTAACACATGCTAATCTCCCTTTTAAGGAAGAAAAATGACAGTATATTATTTGTATCATGCTAATTTTCATAGTTTACCTCTTTGTATGGTCAGTAAAATGGGTTTTTCAGTTCTGTAAATTTTTCTTTAATAATAAATACGAGAAAGAAGAAGTTGTGTCAAATAAAACAATGTTGGTAAGTGGTGTTGAGTCAGCTGAGAGTCGTTGCATACACCACAATGAGATCCCATCTGGTGCTGGGCCATCGTCACATGTTTGGTTGTGTTTGAGCCCAATGCTGCAGCCACTGAGTCAATCCAGTTCAGTGAGAGTTTTCCTCTTTTCTGCTGACCTTGAACTTTACCAAGCCTGATGTCCTTCTTGAGGTCCCTCCTAATAACGTATTCAAAGTGCATGAGGTGAAGTGTCACCATCCTGACTTCTAAGAAGCATCTGACTGTAATTTGTTTTTTTCCTGGCAGTCCATGGTAGATTCAGTATCCTTTGCCAACACCAGAATTCAAAGGCATCAATTCTTCTACAGTCTTCATGACTCATTCTCCAGTTTTTGCATGAAATGAGGTATTTGAAGACACCATGCCTTGGAACAGGCACACCTAAGGTCCTAAAATGGCATCTTTTCCCGCAGATTTTCCCAATGCAATATGTGGTTTTATTTCTTGATTGCTGCTTCTGTGGGTGTTGATTGTAGATCCAAGTAAAATGATCCTTGACAACGTCCATCTTTTCTCCATTTATCATGATATTACTTGTTAGCCAAGTGAGGATTTTTGTTTTCTTTATGTTGAGGTGTAATCTATACTGAAGGTTGTCATCTTTGATAGTCATCAATAAGTGTATTAAGTTCTTTTCAAGATTGTATCAGCTGAGTATTGAAATTTAATAAGTCTTCCTCCAATCCTGATGCCATGCTCTTCTATGTATAGTCCAGTTTCCAGATCATTTGCTCAGTGTACAGATTGTATGTAGTCCATTTTATTTTTGATTAATTCCATTTTTCAAATATTAACATTTCATATATTCCATGTACTAATTATTAATGAACTAGTTTGCAGTGGTTTCTTCTCAGTTTGATTTGTGTTATATCAGCAAATGAAGGTACAGAAATCTATATTCCTTCTAGGTCATTGCGGTCAACTAACTCTACTTGAGACAGCAGCTCCCCAGTCACATATATATATATACTTTTTTAAAAAAATAAGTTTTTGTGAATTGAGTGATCGTTTACATGGGAGAGCATAAGCTTTACATTCATCCTATCATATTTCATTTCATTGCAATGATTACAGTCACTTCCATGCATCATCATTTAACACCATTTGCTTCCAATCCCTCTGTTTTTGTTTGTTTGTTTGTTTTTGGATGTACACCGAAGCACTCAGGAATATATAACCATTCAAACAATCAAAGGGTATACCCTGCATGCTAGCTCCTGCTGCCAGCACACAGTCCCTCTCCCTCCTTGAGTCTAGAGTCCCCAGCCACTCCATCTCACCACGTCATTATCTCTGCCTCCATCTCTGGCATCTTTGCTTCTCTGGGTAGGGTCCCTCACTCTGCTCTTCTCTCTCGATGGTTGCAAGGTCCTCCACTCCTGGACTGCAAGATCAACCACTTGCTTCCTTTTGTTACAAAACATCTATCTTTACATTTGCAACATTCACATCAGTTGTGATAGTAACTATTCACTACTGAACCAAAGAAGTCTTATCCCCATCTCTTTTCACCAGTCCCATCTAGACAAGATGGAAACCACTCAGTGGAGATTCTGCCTTCCCCCGCACCCTCTGAAACTAAACTCCCTCTTGAAATCTTGTAAGCCAGTCACTTCATGCCTTTGTTACCCATCCCCACCCCCCCCATTTTGGGTAGCCAATGTCTAAGTTGCCCATCCCTGTCAACCCTGTGGATAGAGGGAGTGGAAATGATCCTTGCTGTAAAGATTTGTTCCCTCTTTTAAGCTACTACATCCATAAGTATAGGTCAAGTTCATCAAATTGTAGCAGATTACACTTTTTCTTTTTCTTTCTTCCTCTAGTCGAGTTCTGATCATCCAGCCATTGAAGCCAGGTCAAATGGGTACTATCTGCAAGTATGGGCATTCTTGTGCATCTCTTCTCACTTCACATCAGCTGGACATTCACTCTCTGCTCTAGTCCTCTGTGATTATGTCACTGTCCATGGGCTCAGGAGTCCCCAGGTCTTGTTATACTGCTGGCCACCCAGGTTGCTATCCAGGTTGACAGAAGTCTATTGAATATGGTTGGATTTAGTTCACAGCTTCATTTCTGTTTTCCCCCCACTTTCCCTTATTGGTAGATCAACGTGGTCACCAGCAAGATTATTTGCCTGCTCCTTTATTCCCTTTGAGTTTCAGTCTTAGAAGGGGGTTTGCCCTGAGGGGGCTTGATTGCTTGATGGCTCCCTGGCGAACAACTTGCTTGTTCTTGTAGTAGTCAATGAACAACTTGCTTGTTCTTGTAGTAGTCAATCAGACTGCCTTTATTGTTTTTTACTTTTCTTGCTGGTTTTTCTTTTAAGAAGTATCTTCTGTTCCTCTGGCTGCTCCAGGCTGGTCTACTTGCCTTTTCAAGTGGAAATTTCCCACCTCCAAAGATTCTGGATGGGGATCAGGATTCCACCTACTGTCTTATACAATGTGAAGGCTCCGCAGGAAGCCTCTTTGCCTGGGCAAGTTCTAGTCCTGTTTTAGGTATTCCAATCAGTTATAGACTGAAGTTGGGCTTGCAAACTTTCTGTAGTGATGTTTCTGGCTATTCCTTTCTCTTCTCCTCAAGTGTCTATTTTACAATAGTAGGCCCAGTCATATTTTGAGTCCCTTCCAACATAAGGGGCTTGTCTTCCATCATTATTTCAATTGTCTGCTCTATTCATATGATTTTCTTTCACTGGCCATGTATTTTGTTTTTGTATATATATATGATTTTTTTTTTTTTTTTTGAGGAAATCGATAAATTATTCTTCCTAATCTGTTTTCATCTAGATGTTCTGCTGAAACCTGTCTCCCATAGGTCACCCTACTGGTATTTGAAATACCTGTGACATTGCTTCCAGCATCATAGCAGCATTAAGCCACCACAGTATGACAAACTGACAGACAACTGATGGAAATAAAAAATATATTTAAAAAGATGTTACTGAGAGTATGGGGGAAATCCTCAAGGTGGTAAGCATACAACTGATGCTTAGGAAACATAGCTACATAAAGTCAAAGAATTAAGTCATCATGTTATTATCAATGATAGCTACATCAATTGCACACCCTCCATGCTCCATGCATATCTTTGGCATTTCATATGCCTTGTCTTTAGAACAATGAGATATGAAGAACTCAGGGAAGATTTTTTTGAGCAATAGGAATGAGAAGAAATACTTGAATTGAACTCTGGAATAGAGCAGGGTGAAAGTATGGTAGAAATCAATTGAAGCATGGCACATTGCTCATTTAATATTCAGCAATGATTTAGTGAACATCTACTACATGCTCATACCTCTACTTGTCACTAGGGATAAACTAGTGAATGAAACAAGCATGATTTTTGATATGGAGAATTTTAATGGGAGAAAGAGACCTGATACA